GAAACGATTAAAGCTGTTCAAGTGTGGTAAGCGTTGATAAAACAAGCTAAGGGCATCATCCCATTCTCTTGGTTTGGGGGGCTATAATATAACATTCTTAAAATGTTATCTTGACACAGTTGGGTGGTTTTTTTGTTTTAAATAATGTTTTAGGAGAAAGTTTATATAGCAAATTAGATTCCTATCCAATAATTCATACACAAATTGTTCGGTGACCTTGGATACAACCCCCATCTGCTCCCCATAATGTATCAGAATTCTTTCCGATACCCTTTCCACCTAGCCTGACCTATTTCCATCCATTCACTTTCCCTGCCCCTCCTTGTTTTTTCGTCTTTGCTTTTGTGTAAATGTTGACCTTTTGGTCTCATATTCCTCATGGGTGTTATTGTTTATTTTATAGGCTAATCTGTTATTTGGCTAAAAGGTCTCAAGGAATGGCTTCAGTTCCAGGTTAATGTCAGTTTGACACATTTTGTGACCCTGGCTAGAGAGTAGTTCCTTCCCCTTCTTGAGCAGCTGTTTAAATCCATTCTCCAACCATTTCCCGTATCAGTTTTCACACTCCTGGGCCACTCTGCACCCTCATAATCATGAGGTATACAGCAACAAGGGACAGCCCCTGAGGCCCCTGAGCTGCAGAATTAGTCAAACTGCCTAGTTCTCAGAAAGCCCACACATATCCCCGGCACTGGGCAGCACTTAGGAGCTCTGGTGGCGTAGAGCCTAGGCATTGACAGGCTGGCAGTTCAAATCCACCCGCTACTCCTTGGAAGGAAATGGGGCAATCTACTTCCGTAGTGATACTGCCTCGGAAACCCAAGGAGGGGTCGCTATGAGTTGGATCCAACTCCACGGCAGTGAGTTTGGTTTGGGAAGCACTTGTACCCGTCCAAAAACAAACAAATCCTTACACACATCACAAACATTTCCTCAATATTATTCTAACTCACCCATTTGAATTTATGTTGAGATTGTGAGATAGTGTTCCAAATTATGTTCTTCTATCTGCATGCCTGTCTTTTTCAAGCCCAATTAACCTATTTTGGTGCAAATGGGGGGTGGGGAAGCCCGTCCAGGTGGTTCCTGAAGAGAACTCAGAAGCTTGTCTCCTCTAACTATTCCATCACTACAGTGAAAAACAACATTTAGCAACAATGCCAAATCCATACATAGTCAAAGAAATCTTTCTCCCAGATTTCCCATCAACAGAGTTTTAAATCCATGTTAAGCTTAATTATACATCACTATTCATTACCTCCACCACCGATCTGTCAGTTTGTCCTACTGTGGTGGCTTGCATGTTGTTATAAGGCTGGAAGCTGTGCCAATGGTATTTCAAATACCAACAGGGTATTGATGGACAGGTATATATGGTATGTGGTGGAGAAGTTTCAGTGGCGTTTCTGGGCTAAAACAGTCTAGGAAGATCTGCTAGGTGATCTACTTCTGAAAATTAGCCAATGAAAAGCCAACAGATCACAACAGAATATTGTCTGATATAGTGCAGGAAGATGTGCCCTAGACTGGAAGGCACTCAAAAGACATAGGGACCACAACAGGCTCGAGCTACCAATGACCAATTGGGCAGCATTTCATTCTGTTATACATGGGGCCCCCATGGGTGGGAGCCGACTCATGGCCTCTAGCAACAATTCACTACTTAACAGAAGACCTAGCTCCTACATCAGAGAAATCTGCATTTAGCTTTGGGAAAACCACAATTTTCTGTAAGAACAATGGTTAGGGTAAGCTCTACATTTGGCTAACTAAAGAGCCCCTTCAGATAGTTTCCTCAGAGCAAAGGAAAGGCTTGACTGAAAGGTGAATTTAAATATATTACTCTTTCAGAACTGAATCCTGAGAAACTTTTTTTTTTTTTTTTAATTGTGATTTGGGTGAAGATTTACAGAGCAAATTCACTTTCCATACAGAAGTTCACATATACTTTGCTGAGAAACTTTTCTGGTATTTTTTTAAGTCGGAAAATTATTACAAAGAATACAAAACATGCATGGCCTTACACTCTCACCCTGTTAACATTTTTTCTATATATATGTATATAGTACAGACAATAAAAGTTATATATGAATATATTTTTAATTGTAAAGTAAAGGTCTCCTTTTTCTAAAGCGGAGCTCGCACTCCCAGCCATCAGGTTCTTACTTTACAGTTGGTTGGGCTGTGCCTAGCTCTGGGGACAAGTGGATGCTGCAATCTATCCTCTTTTGCTTGCTATGCTGTGCACCCTAACACGGGGTAGTATCCACCCACCAAAAGGGGCATCTTTTCTAATAAAGGCACTCTTAGAAAGCCATCTTTGAACAACTTTTAAAAAGTTATACTTATACCAGCACATACGCATGTATGTTGTTTTTATTTCCATGATGAAACCATATGATAAACACCATTCTAAACTTTCCTACTTTATTTCTCTTCTCCACTCCTCTTTCTTCGCTTTTCTTTCTATTTAAATTAATACTATCTTTTAGGGATTTTTCCATATCAGCAATACAGATCTAAGTTTCTTTTTTCTTTTTTTTAAGGGTCTATAGTGTTCCATGTTATGGCTCTATAAAAATTTATTGAACTAGTTCCCTTTTAATGACTGATGGGCATTTAGGTTGTTTCCAGGTTCTTTTGTAGGGGAGGCAGGGAGGATTGGGCTATTACACATAATGCTATAGTAATCATGCTCATATATATATGTCATGGTATATGGTTTTGTGACCATGTTTATAAGACAAATTCTTAGCAATGAAATCACTGGGTCAAAAGGCATGGATGCTTTAAATTTTGACAAATATGGATTGTGACAACATATGTCAATCCTGGGTATTGCCACACTTGTTAATTATTGCCAATCTTATAGATAAAATTTGATATCTCATTTTTTTAATTTATATTTCTTTAAATGAGAATGATGTTCAATATATTTTCATTGGTCTATTGACCACTCGCAATAGGCCAATGTATTATGTTAGCTTTCTCTGGTGATGCAGTGGTTAAAAAATTCAGCTGCTAATCAAAAGTTTGGTGGTTCAAATCCACCAGCCACTCCACAGGAGAAAGATGAGGCAGTCTGCTTCTTTAAAGATTTACGGCCTTGGAAACCCTATGGGGCAGTTCTACTCTGTCTTACAGGGTTGCCGTGAGTCAGAATCAACTCAATGGGCATGGCTTTGCTTGGTTTGGTTGATGTATTCATATCTCTTGCTCATTTTTCTATTGAATTGTTCATCTTATTTTTACTGAGTTGTAAGCTTCTTTATAAATCAAGACATGCAGTTCTTATTGTTATTATTATGTGTTGTAAATATCTGGGTTTTTGTTTTTTAATTAGGCCAAAGGACCACTCTCACTAGGTCTTGTTGCTTGACAGAAACAGGTCTTGTTCTCCTTCTCATGGCCATGACTAGGAAACTGGAGTAGGACAGGAGAACAACTCCCTCTGGGCTTCTGATGCATTACAGCCCTAATTTCAAGTGCTTCTTCATATAGCAAAAAAAAAAAAAAAAAAAAAAACCACCTTCATATTTTGGAAATGAGGGAACAGAAGGAAATGTTCAAGATGAGACCAGAGACTAGGGAATTTCCTACTCCTCTGGTTCCTCCCGGTATCACCGTCCCATTGTCATAGTCTCAGTCTTTGCCACCACAGAATTAACTTGACAATAGAAAGCTGATGTAATAAAGAAATAAGATGACATCATTGCTTTCAAAAGATGATTACAAACAGCCTCACCTTTTCCAGTAAAGTAACTTAGGACCAGAGAATAATCTTCTCTCTCTGCAAATTGTTTGATGCTATGAAAAGCAGCCTTTGGACCCACTCTTTGAATCCTTATCTGCATTAAATTGTTCTAAGGCATGGGCTGCCACATCTCAAAAGCTTCATCTTTGGTGGGTACCCAGCCTCTTGAACATTCATAGCTGTGTCACCAAGACACAACTGCTGTCAGTCATCCTAGAATGTGCTCAGATTCCTTCCATGTAGCCCTATTCCTGTTTTATCACCTTTTGGTTGCATGGAACATTAGCGGGTTCAAAGTACCTGAGCATAAAGTGGATTTCCGTTAAGGGTACACGTGTGGACATGAAATAAAGTTAAAATATGTTCTGGAACTAAGGGAGTTAGTAGTAGGGGACACCTAGCTCTCTCTCTTCCACACACACACCTTAGGGTGTCTCTGTGTTTCTCTGTTAGTCTCTCCTTAAGCTACAGGGTAGTTTCTCTCTCCTCCCTCACCTTCCCTTCTCCCTCACTGTTCTTCCTAGATTTCCTCTTCCTCTTTCTCTTCTCTCCTTTGATTCTTCCTTCTTTTCACTCTTTACATTGTTTATCAGGCTATTGTTTGGGATAACCATATCCCAAAATAGTTCTTTCAGGCAGTTCTTTCAGTTCAGTGCACTATAAACAAAATGAAAATGGTTGCATTTAAGTCAGAATTTTTTCCTCTCTACTGCTTGACACTTTTGCCTCACGTGTCTCTTCAGATCAGACATATCTGGGAATCAGAATTCCTCTCTTCACAGACTGAGGCTGACCCAGGCATCTTAATGGATGGAAGCATGGGCCAATGACCACATTCCTTATAGTCAGTCTGTTACTCAATTAACAGATACCAACTTAATTCATTAAAATATAATTCATACTATTTGGGGTGTTTATTGGGTTTTTTCCCCCCTTTTTGTAGTCAAGAAGGGTTGTTGTTGTTGTTATTGGCCATCGAGTCAGACCCGACTCATAGTGACCCCTCCTTGAGTTTCTGAGGCAGTATCACTACTGCCCAACCTGTAGCCAGATTGCCCAACCTTCCTTCCAAGGAGTGGCTGGTGAGTTTGAACCATCAGCCTTCTGGTTAGCAGTCAAGTGCCTTAGGCACTATGCTACCAGAGTCAAGAAGGGTAAAAACCTTTTTTAAAAATTAGCCTATTTGTATAAAATTATTACTATACAATAATCACTAATATTTCATATTTAATTTCACTTCTTACAGGCAGCTTCAAAAGATGGTGCATGATATTAAAAACAACGAAGGTGGAATAATGAACAAAATAAAAAAGTAAGTTAAATTCCAGAGCACTACCTTAATATTATTATTATGTCGGCCTGTGCTAAGTGGAAGAAAAGTTCTGTTACCTGAATGAAGGGTTGCAACCTCTCTTAATCATGGCTAGAGTCCATGGTGGTCAGCTCTACAACCAGAAAACACAGCAAGTTAATAGAGTGGTGCCCAAGGCATTATCCTTTTCCCTCTCACTGCAGGAAAGGTAAACAGGAACAGGAAAGGTGAGATAGTCTAGTCAAGGTGGACTAGCTCTCGTGACCCTTAGCTAAATTGTTATAGAAGCTGATTTTCCTGCTTTGATGTTTAATGCCAATTAACTAATTAGCTAAATTGTTAGCTAAGGGTCATCAGGACAGACTTAGAGAAATCCAAATGGGAAGTTACCAGGATACAGTCCTAGCTTCTACAGTCTGTAGGATGCCATACTGTTTTCCATATTTTGATTTCTGCTTCCTCAATGATTATCTTAAAATGGTGTTTTCAGTTGGTACTTGGAGAAGGAAAGCTAGAATCCCAAATTTTCCTGTATACCAAAACCTCATGAGCTTTTTTTTTTTTTTTTTAAGAAAATAGAAATTGTACATACCTGCATTTACCACTCAAAATATAAGTCAAGAAAAGAGAGGAAATAATATTTTTAAAGTGTGTTTAAGTGTTTTGTTTTTGTTATTAATGAAAGTAATACATATTCAAAGGAGCCCTGTGGTTTGACCTCACCATCCTTGACCCCGAGACCAGAAGAGCTAGGTGGTGCCCAGCTACCAATGCCAACCACTCTGCAAGGGATAGCAATAGAAAGTCCTGGATAGAGTGAGGGAAAAATGTGGACCAAAACTCAAAGTCATAAAGAAGACCAGACTTACTGGTCTGATAAAGATTAGTGGGGACCTCTGAAACTAGGGCCCTTAGTCACCCTTGAACCTGGAACTGAACTCACCCCCTTGGCTCAGCTTTCTGCCAAACAATAGACACGCCTATAAGGTGAACAATAATACTACGTGCTTAGAACAACTTGTCACATAAGGCAAAAAGAACAGCTTTTGCCCAGGGATGAAGTGCAGAAGGTGGGAAGGGGTAGGAAAGAAGGACAAATGGAAACTGAAATTACAGGGAGGAAGTGGGAAGGGTGCTATCACCTTGTGGGGATTTCAATCATGTTATGAAACAAAATGTGTGTGTATATGAATTGTTGAATGAAAAACCAATTTGTTGTGTATACTTCCACTCAAATCACAATAAAAGGGTAATTAAAAAATAAAAAGAAAACTTGATGGTTCGTAGCCACTCAGCTCTGAGGGAAAAAGATCTGACAATTTGCTCCCATAAAGATTATAGCCTGAAAACCCTACAGGTTGCTACAAAACTAAGGGCCACAGTTTCAGAGGTTCCACTAGTCTTTATCAGGTCAGTAAGTTTGGTCATTTTTATGACTTTGAGTTTTGATGCACATTTTTCCCTCATTCTACCCAGGACCTCTTCAATATCAACTCCACAGCACCTAACAACAGCCATATATGTTCACCAGACAGAAAAAAAAAACCTTCTACTTCCTCATATCCCACTCTCCAGAAAGAGCTGTTGTCCACTGTCATGAGACAATGAATATGTGTATGTATTACACAACACCAAACACAAAAAACAAACCCATTGCCATCAAGTTGATTACAACTCATAGTGACTCACAGAACAGAGTAGAACTGCCCCAAAAGGTTTCCAAGGCTGTAATCTTTACAGGAACAGACTGCCATACCTTTCTTCCACAGAGTGGGTGGTAAGTTCAAACCAATGACTTTTTGGTTAGCAGCCAAGTACTTAACCACTGCCACAGGACACATACTTACAATGTATATATCTATATCTATATATATCATGGGAGCTCTGGTAGCATAGTGCCTAAGGCACTTGACTGCTAACCAGAAGGCTGGCGGTTCAAACCCACCAGCCACTCATCACAAAGAAGATGGGGCAATCTACTTCCGTAGTGATACTGCCTCGGAAACCCAAGGAGGGGTCGCTATGAGTCAGGTCTGACTCGACGGCACATAACAACAACAACATATATATCACACACATACACTGATGTGGATACAGCACTGTTCTGGTTACCTAGTGCCACTCTGACAAGGATTTACCACTACAAATGGGATGGCCTTAACAAACAGGAGTTTATTCTCTTACAGTTTGGAGGCTTTAAGTCCAAGTTCAAAGTGCCAGGCTCTAAGGGCTGGTTGAAAACCCTTCAGCCCTCCCATCCCACTGACACTAGAGGTGTTTCTTCACTCAAACAGCTGCTGGCTGCTGAGGCTGCCAAGCCCAAGGTTGACAAGTAAAAAGGTACAGTCCCGATGTTACCAAACCACACAGCAGGCCATTAATTCAAGTCCATTATAAGTCCCCAGGTTGGCAGAGCATGGCAGGCTGCTGAACAATGACAGGGCTACATGCAGGGTTTAAGTGTGCCATAAGCTAGAGACCATTCCCAAAGCTGCTTCTTATATGTAGGAAGCAGACCACATACCTAAAGGCAACTACTCAGTGGCTTGTGGTAGATCCCACCATGGAGTTGACTGCCAGTCTCAACATGGGGAATAACTACCACCAGCTGCCCAGCCACTCAACCAGGCCCAGCCAAGTTGACACACAAACATAACCACCACAAGCACCTCCCATACATTTTTGTCATGAATGGCATCATCCTACAGACACTATTCTACCAACTTGTTTGATTTGTTTTATTAATGCTACATCATAGACATCTTTATTTATTATGTAAAAATAAATCATATTTCCTTTTGAACTGCTGTTTTATAGTCTACTGTAAATGTATTATAATTTATAATTCATTTAACCAGTTTTAAAATGGTGGACATTTTTCCCAAGGGGCCAGGAGTTTAAACTGGTACAGCAGTTTTTGGAGGACAATTTGATAATAATAATCCAATGCTTTTGGACACTTGTTTCAGTTTGCTTTAATGGTCACAAATAATAGTGCAATGAGTGTCCTTTGCACATCAATCAACTAAACTCCTCAAATGAAATTTAATATAACTATATAAAATTATTACTCTATAATAATTACTAATATTTCATGTTTAATTTCATTTCTTATAGGCAGTTTCCAAAGAGGGTCCATGATATTAAGAACATGTATCCTTGATACTAAAATATATGCCCTTAAAAAATATGGACTGATATTTTCAAACTGCCCTCCAGAAATTTTGTACCTCCAATACTGTATGAGTTCATTCTTCCCATGTCTTCAGCAAAGAATATTTTCATTCTTTTTGATCTTCGCTAAACATATAAGCAAGAAATAAATTTTGGTGGTGTTTTTTAGACTAGAAAATGTAAATGAGTTTCAAGATGTATAAGTGATCAGCATACAAGTTTAAATGGTTTTCTGGTTATGGAGCCTCAAAACCTCACTGCCTTTGAGTTGGACCCAACTCATGGTCACCCCTCCTTGGGTTTCTGAGGCAGTATCACTATGGAAGTAGATTGCCCCATCTTCCTTCCAAGGAGTGGCTAGTGGGTTTGAACCATCAGCCTTCTGGTTAGCAGTCAAGTGCCTTAGTGCCACCAGATCAATGGGCATTTTATAGAGGAGAAGACTTTTGTCTTCATATTCTGTCCTATGACTGGTAAAGGTGTGTAATTATTTTCATTTTAATGTTATTTCTGATATGTATAGAATCTCATTCAAATGAGAGATGGCCATTTTATAAACATAAGCAATTCTAAATTGATTATCATACAGTTGCCAATTTTGTAGTACACCAGTTTATTCAAGAGTATGACGCTTCTGTTTAAAAGGTCTGTCTATTCCATGGTCAGTCATACTTCAAGCAACCATGGATCTCAAATTTTCTTGGATCGCTTCAATTTCAAACATATCTGTCCATTGTCCCTAAAAGCACTGTCACTTGACAAACCATGTTTCTTCTCAGTTTGGAAATTATGGCTGCCATAGTCATTTCTCTGGGTGAAGTCAATGGTTCTTTGGTTCAAAGTGATGTGTGGTTAAGCTGTCACTTGAAGCCAGGCAACAGGTGCTACCATTGAAAAGAGGAAGCATGGTTGAGCACTCTGGTTTCCTAACGTAAGATCATGACCAAGTTTTCACTGGTCCGTGGCCAAATGAGAAAATATGGTCCTTGAAGTGTTAGGAGCTGATGTGCAGCTGCAACTCCTAAGCAAGACCCAAATGACGCCTTTATTCCCAGTTGGTGTTCAGTGGTCAACACATCTTTCTTGAGTCTGTCCTATATTCTGAGATTTTGACCTTCACAGATTTTTAAGTGTTAAACTATCCATTTTTTTCTTTTATAAAATGATGGTAATAGTAGATGTTACAGGTAGTCCCCAACTTTCAATGGGGATTCCATTCCAATGACTCTATCATAAGTTGGTTTTGGCATAAGTTGTCGTTGTTGTTGTTATGTGCTTCGAGTCAGACCCGACTCATAGGAACCCCTCCTTGGGTTGCCAAGGCAGTATCACTTCAGAAGTAGATTGCCCAACCTTCCTTCAGAGGAGTGGCTGGTGGGTTTGAACTGCCAGCCTTCTGGTTAGCAGTCAAGTGCCTTAGGCACTACCCTGTCAGATAACTCTTTTTTTTTTTTTTTTTAACTCTTTATTATTATTCCCTTTTATTATCAGTATCTTTATAAATCTGACTTTCATTTGTCTTTGGGGGTTGAAAACATTACTTAAAACTTAGAGATATATTGTAATACATACATATTACTAACAAATAAGATGTACTAAAAAAAAAACAACATGGTTCTAAGTAGAGTTCCTTGTAACTTGAGAACATTGTAAATAGGGGATTACGTGTAGTTGGTTTGTGTTTTTTGAAATATTACTGGCCCATGAACAGGCCTCAGCCCCAGATCCAGTTTTTTTTTTTTTTTTTTCTTCCTTAAAACGTCTTGGACAATCTCTCTGTCTGGTCCTCATCAAAGGTCTAATGATAGTATTCTGCTGGATGGCTATGAAGACTGAATGAAATAATAGATATCAGAGCCTTTGGGGAAAGAAAAAACAGAATTGCTATTAAATATTATTATTTTGGAAAAGTTATAGTCCTAGTTTGTTAAGGTTTTTGCAATCAACCAGGAGTTTCTGTGCTGCTTTTTTTTTTTCAGGAAATGAAATATATTTTGTATGCAATGATAACTTTAAGGCGCTCTGGTAGTGTAGTACTGAAGGCATTTGGCTGCCAACCAAAAGGTCAGTGGTTCGAACCCACCAACTGCTCCTTGGAAGAAAGATGTTGAAGTCTGCTTCCATAAAGATACAGCCTTGAAAATTCAGTGGAGGTCACTAAGAGTTGGAATTGACTCAATGGCAGTGGGCTTGGTTTAATGATAACTTTATACACTGCTTCTATAAAAGGATATGATATTTTACCTTAAAAGTTTTTGGATATAGGCTTTAATCAATATTTTAAATTTCATTAAGCAAATAATTTTAAAATAAACTGTGTAACGATTATTAAAAATAGTAATTTATTATAAACCTCACCCACTTCATATTATGGAAGAGGAGATGTTAGAACTTATGAAAGTTTAAGTCTTTTAAATGCAATCTTACTTTTCTTTTAGTGATTGGGGGAAATTGTGAATATTCAATCTATTTTATTGTAGATGTTGTTGTTGTTGTTGTTATGTGCCGTCGAGTCAAACCTGACTCATAGCGACCCCTCCTTGGGTTTCCGAGGCAGTATCACTATGGAAGTAGGATTGCCCAACCTTCCTTCCGAGGAGTGGCTGGTGGGTTTGAACTGCCAGCCGTCTGGTTAGCAGGCAAGTGTCTTAGCCACTATGCTACCAGAGCTGTAGATAGAGATACTAAAGTACTTTCTTGAGTCCTTGAAAGAGTAGGACTTCTAAGTATACTAAACATCACAATCCTCATCATGGAGACACTCACTGCTCATTTATTCAGCCTTTTAAGGTTTTTGTAACGGTGCAAAAAAAATCATTTCAGCCCAACCTACAACTAAAGTTCTCATTGTAGCTATTTCTTTTTCTTGTTATTTAAAGTATTTGTAAACTATTAAAATACAATTACTGTCAACCAATCAACACTATCTTCCTTGAACCCATGAACTTACAAGTACTCTGACCTCTCAGAGACCTTTCCTTGACTGACATTGCCTTTACTAAGTCCTAGCCACATCTTGCACTGGGGAGATGAGAGGTGAGGAACTGAGGAGCTGAGGAACCCACACATTTACAATACATCAAATGTTTCAATGTGATAGATCCAGAAGAAACTATTACCCTGTTAGTTATCTACCTGTTATCTTTATATCAGGTTATGTTATGGGTCTTAACAACAGTTGTCCTACAGACTGACTATTTGTCTAATGGTTATTATCTACAGGCTGAAAGTCAAAGCACCTCCAAATGTTCCTCAAAGGGACTACGCTTCAGGTAAGAGTATTTCTAAGATACTTTAATCAACTCTTGATTAATTTAAATGTTCTGTCTACTTGATGGGAGCTCTGGTGGCATAGTGCCTAAGGCATTTGTCTGCTAACCAGAAGGCTGGCGATTCAAACCCACCAACCACTCCTTGGAAGGACATTTGGGCAATCTATTTCTGTAGAGATACCATCTAGGAAATCCAAGGAGGGGTTGCTATGAATCAGAAACAACCCAACAGCAGTGAGTTTTTTTTTTTAATCTACTTGATGGAAGGGAAAATATGTTCTACTGGTTTGAAAACTCAGAGCACCTATCCTAATTTTAAAAATGGCTAAATTTGTTAGGCTTTTGGACTACGGTGGAAATATAGTACTCGATCCATTCATCTGCCCCTCTGTCCATCTGTCACCTATCTATTGAATATTAATTATTATTATTATTATTTTATTGTGCTTTAGGTGCAAGTTTACAGTGCAGAGTTTGTTTTACATTCAACATTACATGTACATTTAGTTTCACTCCCCATTTACCATCCCCCCCAACCCAGTCTCCTCCCCTACCTGCCCAGTAACCCTGCCCCGCTTTGCCTCTCATAGTTATGCACTCCTGTGTGTCCTGCATTTCCTCCACGTGAGTGTTGCCCCTCTGGTGCCCCGTGGTCGAGTGCTCCAAGGGATGCATTTCCATGAGTATGTGGGTGCGTCACTCTGGGTTGAGTGGTCTGTGTGTACATCTTGTTTACTATTGGCCTGAGAGCCAACCCCTGCGGGTGAGCTTTATCCCAGGCTCAGAATGTATCCCAGGGCCATAGTATTAGGGGTCTTACCAGGCTCCATCCGACCAGTAATTCTGGTCATTATTGAGTTTTTGGATTTTGTTCCACGTTTTCCCTCCCACTCTATCCAGGATCTCCAGATTTGATCCTGCCCTGAGTGGTTGGCGTTATAGCCGGGCACCATCTAGTTCTTCTGGTCTCGAGGTCCATCATGTCCTAGGACTGATTGCTTCCAAATGCCCTTGTTTTTTGCACTCTTCTTTGCTTCTGATGATAGGAGACAATTAGCTGCATCTTAGATGGCCGCTTGAAAGCTTTTAAGACCCTAATCATTACTCACCAATGCAAGATGAGGAACAAGACTTTTATGTATTTTGTTGTACCAATCGAGTCTGGTGTCCCCCAGTACTATGGTCCTGAGTCAGTAGATCCGTTGGATCTCTCTCCCACGGTGTCTGGGTGTGTATGAAGATCACTCTATGTCTGTCTTCTGTTGTTTCTGTAAGGACTGCGGGTATTTTGTATCACTGTTATCTATGCAAGATTAGCCTCCACTGAATTTATCTCTATTGAATATTTAGCATCAACCATATGCCAGGCACATACAAAGTCTTAGGTAAAAATACAGTGCAAAACAAGACTCATATATAATCTGAACGCTCACAAAATGTATAAGCTCCAAGGGAAGACCCATAAACGCACTGTCATCAAGTCAATTCTAACTCATAGCCACCCTATAGGACAGAGTAGAACTTCCTCCTAAGGTTTCGCAAGGCTGTAAATCTTTATGGAAGCAGACTGCTACATCTTTCTCTGATGGAGGGGCAGGTGGGTACAAAAAACTGACCTTTCAGTTAGCAGTCACGAACTTTAACCATGGCTCCTTAGAAGGAAAGATTGATGATGTTCATTCAATGCAATTCCAATTATTGTGATAAGGAGAAGCATGAAGTTCTATGGAACTAGATAAAAAAAAAAAAAAGTCCATTGTCAAGTCCATCTGGCTCATAGCCACCCTGTGTGTTACAAAATAGAGCTGTGCCACAGAGTTTTCTTGGTTGCAATCTTCACAAAAGCAGATTGCCATACCTTTCTTCTGCAGTGCTACTGGATGCACTCAAAATGCCAACTTTGAGGTTTGTTATCGAGTGCAAACCACTTGTGAGCAGGGACCGGGGGACATACAGCAGCACCTAATTGAATCTGAGGTAGGTAGTGTGGAGAAAGGACACTCAGAGGGGGAAAGGAAGGTTTTGTAGATAGATCTGCTGTAGCTTAAACAGATACTTGAGGGTTAGTGAAAGGGGAAAGGAGAATAAATTACTGATGGCACATGATCATCTTGAGTTTAGCTCTGCAACCCCAGTCCAACCAGGATCAACTGTGGTAAGAGGGAGAGATTAGTTTTGAGATTGGTAGGGTTTATGGCAGTAGTGACTGAAGTAAAATATCCAACACATTTTCCTTTTCTAAAATACATGCCTTGGGAGGTGTAAAATCTTTTTCTCCTAGCATTAAGTTTAACAATTTTCTGAATGTAACCAGATCTGTGCAGCTCTTAATGAAACCCACAGGGCTATAGATATCAGTGAACATCAGAGCAACAGCTAAAACCAAATCACAGCCATAGATGATGATGATGATTTTACTGCTACTGATCAAGATGGCAACAAATCAGATAGCTGAGCCCTTCCTGGGCATTGATGAAATCTTACCACACTGACAAATGCCAACCAACATACCTGTTTAGTCAGTGACTCATGGACCACTCTCCATAACTTACCAGACCACAAAGTATTTTTTTTACTTTCCCCTGACAATCAGTCAGCAAGTCTAGGTAGTTGATCAGGGGAACTAAAAAAAAGGAATATTTTCCTAGGCTTTAAAATCTACCTAATTAATAAGTCAAGGAAGCTTCTTATCTAACAAATGAGAACAAATATGTTCTTCTCCCCAACTTCTAAAAAAGAAAGGAAAACAAAGCAGACCTCTTAAACCTATTAAACAACCAAATAGGTTTGACAGGAAAATTAAGGCATCATGGACTCTCAGGTTTAAAAGGAAATCTAAAGGTCATATAGGCTAATCCCCCAAGCCAGTGTTTGAATCCTACCTCTTCATCACGTAACATGGCCCAGTTTCTGCCTGAACACATCCTGTGATGATCTCATAAATGTGTCTTATCCAGTCAAGGAAAGACACCCCTCACTGTATATGGAGATGAGATCTATCTTTTGTGGCTTCTTAATTCTATCCCAATGGCCACATAGTACAAGTCTTCAAATATTAAAGAAAGTGGAACTACCATTGTCCTGTGCAACTTCAAAGTTTGAATTTAGAAATTAGATCATTTGAATCCTTTCTTCTGCAGAATAAACATTTCTAAGTGCTTCTTCAGTCATTCCACCCATTCATTCAACAAATGTTTCATGAGTGCATCCTATGTGACACTCACTGAGCTTAGTGAGTCACATAATAAACCAGCAAACAAACAGGTAAATATCAATTATTACCAAGCATGGTGATCGCTCTGAAGGAAAATGATGGGGTGCAGTGATAGACAATCACTAAGGAGTTAGAGAACCACTACAGTGATCAGGAGAGGTCTCTCAAAGAAGGTGACCTTTGAGTTCTGGGGGATGACTAGGAACACTTGTCACTTGGAGATGAACCAAAAGCACTACAGATGCTGGACACATGTTAAGAGCTTGGAATCAATCTGTGAAACTTAAGTAGACTCATATATCTGACTTCAGGATGGATATGTCTTCTGAATGTCTCAGATACCTCATACTCACTGGAACTCATCATCAGTTCCTCATTCATCCCCTCACCCAGGACCCCTTCTTTTACTCTATTTTTTTACTTGAGTGAAAGGCAGGTAGCATTCATCATTTATTCATCCTCTTATATAATATGACCCCTTGGGGAGTTCTCCTTTTCCCTCATCCTCTGTAACCAATTAGTAAGAAAATCCTATTGATTCTGTCTCTCAAATAGTTTTACCCCTCTCTATTCCCATTGCTACAGCTCGGGCCCATCCCATCTCTTGCCTATCCTAGTACAGACGACCTCTAATTAGTCTCCTTAGTCTCCAGATCTGTGTAGTTCTGTCCACCTTCACCAAAGACAACTTTTTGAAATGTACTTCTCTTCATAACACCCCTCTGTTTAAAACTTTTTATGGCTCCACATCACCAGCACAGCGACTGTAAACCACTGATCTTGCATACAGAGTCCTTTACGATCTAGGCACTAACTGGCTGTGTAATCTCCAACATTCTGTATCTATATCATGAGGGGGTGGGGGTTGAAATAGAAGATCTGTAAAGTTCCTTCCAATGTTAACACTCTGCACTCAGGAAAACAGATTTTTGGAGCCTGGAGTACAGAGTTCAGTGAAAGCCAGCCTTTCCTTAACCTTCCCTTGCTTTAGGAAGTTGCATCTTCCAATCTCTGTGATGCTTGGAAGTGTCCCCTTTCTTGACCTCAGACACCTACTTTCTTCCTTAAAACCCAAAAAAATAGTTCTGATATCAGTACGTCTGTACTTAATCACTCTTTGAACACAGATGTGTAGCCCAGCCTGATCTTCTAAGCCTTTGCTACTCAGAGTTAGGTCTCTAGCCTGGAAGCATTAGTATAGCTGGGAGCATGTTAAAAATGCAGAATATCAGCCCCACCCTAGACCTACTGGATAAGAATCTACATTTTGCCAAGAGTTTCAGGGTATTTGACTGTATAATAAGTTTGAGAAGCCCTGCTCTAAGCCACCAACACTACCTTCATTGTTTCTCTTGAACTGAAGGACAAGCAAAAACAAAAAGACCAATGCTGTCGAGTTGATTCCAACTCATGGCAACCCTGTGAGCTTCAGAGTAGACCTGCACTCCATAAGGTTTCCTTGGCTGTAATCTTCTTATGGAAATAGATCACCAGGTCTTTCTTCAGTGGCATTGCTAGGTAGAGGCAGACTGACAATTTTTTTTTGGTTAGTACCCAAGAGCAAACCATTTGTGACACTAGGGACCTGAAGAACAAACAGATCCCCCCACATACATTGACATTCCAGCATCTCAGAAATTCATCCTTTTGTTTCCCCAAACTAATAGGGACTTTCCCCAGTCTCCTCTGTTCCTACACTCAATCCTCAGAAACAGTCCTTTTTGTAAACCACAATTGCCACCTGCCGTAGCTCCCCAACCCCTCCCAAATCAACTCATGTCCCAGG